TGTGTGTGTGTGTGTGTGTGTGTGTGTGTGTGTGTGTGTGTGTGTGTGTGTGTGTGTGAGGCGAAAAGAAAGAATGAACCTAGGCATCATATCGAGCCAGGTACATTCGACAATAGAGATAATGGAGGGACGAGCTTGGGCGCAGCGAGGAGAAGGAAGCTCGCGCAATACTTCACTGACCAGGCAAGAGAGAGGTGGATAGGAGGGGGTTTCGGGGCTGGCGACCCCGGATTTGAAGTTAGTTTTGGTAGAAACTTAGTAAAAAGAGAGAGTATAAATGGGGCGCGCGGAAGAGTCGACAGAAGGAAAAGAGAGAAAACGGGGATAAAGATGACAGATCTCAGTCGATTTTTGACCGTTTTCTGCAAGGTAGGATGCTAAGTTGGGGTTTTGGGGCATTGCGAGTATGATGGCGGTGTTAGTATCGCCTATAGATTAGTGGTATAGCCAGGATCAATGTTAAAAGTTGCGTTTAGAAGTAAAGACGATAAATCTGGCCGTGTTTTAGCGGGAGATTCATTCTCATATTACACATTTGGCCAGTAATGGAGCACGACCGTAGCCATTGATCGCCTTGATTACGGCCCGTCTGCTTCATATCAATCAATCAATCAAAAGAAAAGAAAAAGAAAAAAAAAAAAAAAAAACACCAATCAAGCAATCAATCGATCAATCAATCAATCAATCAATCAATCAATCAATCAATCAATCAATCAACCAATCAATCAATCAATCAATTAATTAATCAACCAATCAAACAATCAATCAATCGATCAATCAATCAATCAATCAATCAATCAACCAATTACTCAATCAATCAATCAATCAATCAATCAATCATTCAATCAATCAATCAATCAATCAATCAACCAATTAATCAATCAATCAATTTTTTATTTTTTTTTTACCCCGGGACGAAAAAAAAAATCTTTTTTGTTTTTTCGTTTTTTTGAATGGGGGGGTTACCCCTTGACACCCGACCCCCCCCCAGCCCATCCACCCCCTCAACACCCCCCCGGAAGGCCACGTGCGGAGGGCCCAAAGTCTGTACGTACGGGCCGTATTCGTACGGCCGTATACACTGTTTGATGAACTTTTTTTTTTTTTTTTTTTTTTTTTTGCTTTTTCGTACGGGGGTGTACAAGACGTATAGGTTCTCGTACAGGTTCCCGTACAGATCCCGTACAGAAATTACCTGTACGTTTCGTACGGAAAGCCCCCGTACGTGTACTCTATGCAACGTAGCCCAGTGGCAGTGAAGGCGGTCCGGGGCCTCAAGGAGGAACAATATATTTTTTTTGTATTTACAGAGGGACATAACAGGGACATGGGAGCATTGTGTGGCTGGTTTATGTGAGACCCTGGATGATATCCGTATCTGGCAGGTGGACCACAGAGACGACCTCCGGACGGCTCACGGCCGATTGTGCCCTCAACACTCTCTTTATGCCCCCCCCCCCCTACCCTCTCGTTGCCAGTGGAAGGAGAGCCTGCTATCCGGTAGTTGGACCACGGAGACGACCTTGGGGCGGCACCCGGCCGAGTGTGCCCTCCACACTCTCTTGATGCGCCCGCCCCCTACCCTTCCGTCGCCAGTGGAAGGAGAGCCCTTTGGAGGGGAATAACGGACCCCGGCCCTAGTGGAAATTCCCCTCTGACCTTTCCAGGCTAATTTCTTTTTTATCGGTGGGTTCCTGGAAACAACATTTTGGAAAGGCAAAATAATTTCTGCACGTAGCTGTGGGGTCCAACCCTCAGCTATATTCTTCTCTCAATTCATCTCTCAGTACCTACCGACCACTACTCCTAAGAGTATACAGGGGAGCCCTGCAAGCATAGCTACCTCGCAATGAAAGGATTGCATGGTGCCCCTTGCCCTTCGGTAGTTGTTTAAGGTCCAGGGTTGGGGCCAGCGGAGGCCGCCCGGGCCGAGCACTTTGCCAGTAGCTGCACCTCAACACTCTCACACCCACCACACACAACCCACTCACATACACAATAGCACCAGTGTTGGGTAAAGATCCTACTAAAGAAAACGGACTGCCATTGTGAATTGACCGGACCCTGGGTAATTGAGCAATTACGCTCATTTGGGTCCATCCAGGTTCAAGGTCAGGTCTCTTTTTCAACACCGGATGGGTGTACCAAGACGCGAGGCTTCTTTGTGCTTCTTTTTTTTGAGGCCCAACAAGTCATATATGGACAGAACGGACTCTCAGGCCTTTTTCCAATTGTGATTATTATAGTGACGTCTTCCCCCCCCCC